TAAAGGGTTTCCCTCAGCTTTTTGGGGGGGGGGGGGAATGTCCAGCTGCCCTCCTTTCCCCATGGCCCCAATGCGAGGCACTGCTCTAAAGAGCGGCACCACAGACTGTGGTGTTTTTGGCAGTGTAGACAGGGCCCATGACGACGGTTTCAAAGCGGTCTGGAGCTGCAGCATAGCCAGAGCCTTGTCCGAGAACCCTTTTAGAACCAATTAAAGGTTTAACCGACTGAAGGTAGAATTTAGCCCCACTGGAACCTGAACAAAGTCTGCTGACTTTAAGACCAACGTTTGATAACTTTCCCCAGCTCCCATTCGTCCCAGTACCTCCGCCACCTCCAACCACAACCGAGCCCTATTTCTATTTGATGGGGGAACCAAAGTCGGGGGAATCAAGTCTGTCCTGCTGCCTACCTATCAAATCTAACCCAGCTATTGTTCCAATATACCCGGTTAGTAAATTCTGGGCATTAGTTGCTATCTCCTCATACAGGAGCTAGCCATCGGTACAAATCCCACCTCGTAGAGGAAACTGTACAAGACAGTTAATCATGATGTGGTCATGCGCAGTCCTGTGGTCCTAGAACAATGGGCAATGCAGCTAGACTTGAGCACTCACAAGACTATCATCTGATTAGAGGCTGCTACAAGAAGTGCATCACGAGGTGTTTAAAGAGAAGCTTATCAAAGATTTGATTGGTAATATCAGGAAATACGCAGGCACCGCAATGTACATTAGAGACCTCTCACAAACTCCAAATAAAATGCCGCCTTCTTGCCTCACCACAAGTTGATCAGGGCTGGGAGCAGAAGGAATTTCACAGATAGTTAAGTGTATCCTAGTATCCACACACCAAGCGACTGGGGCTCAGAAACAGAACCCTGAGATTCATCCCATCGCTCCTCAGTTACCCTGTGTCTGTGTCTGTGTGTCCGTCCCATCGCTCCTCAGTTACCGTCCGTGTGTGTGTGTGTGTGTGTGTGTGTGTCCGTGCGTCAGAGACAGATTTTCCTCTCTGGCTTTCCAACAAGTTACGATACAAGGACTAAAATGTGTGCCCTGAGGAAGACATGCAATGTGTTGTGCACAGGCCCAAGAGAGATGTGACAAGCTTTCAAGAGGGTCTCGGGACTTGACTGGCTAAGGACACGACTGCTGCAGTCTCAGAGGGCTGGCTTCATCAAACTCAATAGCCAGAACCCCACAAAAAGAGAACCACGGCCACACAAAGAAGCTGTTCCCACTGATGCCACAAGTTCTAGGCTAAGGCTGGGTCGCGGAAGAAAGGAACAGTGGAGGAGCTGGAACGCGGAACTCGTTCTGGAGGGCTGAGCAGAGCCACGTTTCTATTGGTACTCTCAGGTTGTGAAGCAGGGCATGTCGGTTTATTGGATCAAACACACCTGGAAGATTGTGTGAACCAGCAGTTCTCCACAGCCACTGGGGGCCTTGAGACCTTTCAGGGACCCTGCAGCTGGAAGCAAGAGCTGGAGCCCAGACTCTGAAGCCCTGAGCACTGGTAACCTCCCCTCCCCACAGGGCCAGAGCAGAGTAATCTGAAGAGCAGTGCCACTCCCCACACACATACTAACCTCCCCTCCCCACAGGGCCAGAGCAAAGTAATCTCAAGAGCAGAGCCACTCCCCACACACCCCCCACCCTCCTCTCTCCACCCCGAGGCAGGGGGCCAGAGTCTGACAGTGCAAGCAGCTGCCGCTCTGGCCAGTGCCCGAAGCCGGCAGCCACAACATCCTGTGCCCTGCTGCAGAGCCGCCTGGGGAGCAGTGACCACAAGGGAGCCCCATTTCCCCTCTTCCTAACCCAAACTGCTCTCTGCCTGCACCTTGAGCAGTTTTCAAACTTTTTGAGCTGACCCCCCACCACCTGCAACCCTGCCAGGCTGGGAGGCGACACTGCCTTCCTCAACCCTGCCATGAGGAGTTGGCCCAAATCCCTCCAGCCCCTCCAAACAGAAGTCAAGCCATGCCTACACTCAATGCTTCAAAAACGCCAAACCTAAGGGGGAGAGATAGCTCAGTGGTTTGAACATTGGCCTGCTAAACCCAGGGTTATGAGTTCAATCCTTGCAGAGGCCATTTGGGGCAAAAATCTGTCAGGGATGGTACTTGGTCCTGCTGGGAAGGCAGAGGACTGGACTCAAGGTCCCTTCCAGCTCTAGGAGACAGGCAATCTCCATTCATTTTTTTAATGTTATGTTGACACAGCAAGCTCACTCTCACAAATCTACTGCTTACCGTGACATTTTTCAGGCACTCTTCACAAGTTTTGTTTGTGTACTGGTGACAAGCTGTGGAAAGGGGAAAAAAGAAAACCATGTCAGTATTTTGCTTCGAGTAAGTTTGTTAAGATTTTAGAAAGTAAAAATTGTAAACTCTCGGGGGGGTGGGGGGGCTCCTGGAAGTAGGGATATAAAGGGTTAAATGGTGAACCAGTTACCCAGTAATCATCACTCTTACCAGGTGATTCTTACTGCATAAGTGGTTAACCAGTAGCCCAGCCAGGATGGAGTGACCCTCCACCTACCGGATCCCTGTTTAAATTTAAACATTTAACCCGTTTTAAAAAGTTCACTAGATTTTACAGCCCTACCTGGCAAGCTGAGATCCTCAATAAGCCAGTTTAAAAGGTGACTAGTGAGAGAGCTGACAGAACCATTGTCCCAAACTATGCACATAAGCCTCTAGATCTGCTCTTGAAATGTCACTCTCCCCCAAGTCAGAGAGACACCACTACATACGATTGTCCAGAGCTAACAGTGCTCAACAGCTCACACTGCTGTTGAGTTTAAAAAAGTGAGCCATACAAGCAGGGGCAGATGAGGATTTTGTGGGGTCCAGGACAGCACAATTTTGCGGGGCCCCCCCTTTGACACGGCGCATGCGCAGTGGTGTCACGCGCATGCACAGTGGCGCCACGGCTCATGCGCGGGGCTTCTTGAAGAGCAGGGTCCGGGGCGGCTGCCCCGCTCGCCCTGCCCTCTATCCGCCACTTCATACAAGTTTTGAAAATAAACACTACATGCACATTTGACTGTGCTATATCTTTGCAGCTAGGCAGCACTACATATTCCAAAATAACCCCAAAAACCTTTAATAGTTTTGCTTGTCTAATTAACTATAGTGTAAAGTGCAACAGCTTCCTCCCTATTCACTGTTCACTCGTGCTTTGTCTCAGAAAACTGGAGAAACAGCACCATACCCTCAGTGTATTCCCATTCTATGTCCATATTCTTGCCATAAGTGCAACTCTTGTGGCCTAGCACCCGGTGTATCAACAGGGGACTTTCATGCCAGGATCTCAAGGGCTTCCACAGGTTCCACAACATACTTCAGAGACTAAACAGTATTACGACAACCTCTTTTCCATGCAGGCCCATTGTGGGATGTTCTAACATTTAACTTTGAAAACATGATTTTAGTCCAGTGTTTATTAATTGTTGGGAAAGCAGGTTATGCCAGGGCTCAACGCTCAGATCTGCAATTACATAAAAGCTTTAAAAAGAACACCAGTTTTGCTCAGCCACCTGTTGGCAATGACTTTCTTGATGAATATTGACTGTAGATTTATCAATGTGTTCATGTTGAGAAAACCTATTACCACCCCTGCAGGAATAACGATGAAGAAGCCAGATGTGGAGCTAATGACCCATTAGAGAGAGATCCTTGACTAGAGTAGAGAGTCCTTTCGCTACACTGCTATTAACTCATGGACTCTGTGGTGCTATAAAGACATGTGACCAAGTCACCTGGTGCTGGAATTCATCTTGAATTTTGTACTTTCCACAAGTTTTCCTGCCTTTGGAAAATTCTATATAAAGCTGGGGAAGTAAACAATGTCTGTCTTCATCTGGCTTTACAGATTTGCCTCCCACCCACCCCAAGGAGAGATATGAAAACACATGGAAACAAGAGGATTGCAATGACAAGAGTGGACCCAGATCAGAAAAGACCAGAAAAGACATCTCCGGCCTCTTCCCATCCATATTCTATAGTCTCTTGGTTACCTTAGCGTGCTTTTGCTCCACAAAGATTTCTCCCTTCAACCAAAATGGATTGTTAGAAATACAGGACACAAGAGCTCTCCACTTCACTACAATGCTGCCTACCGCCTTACCTGCCTCTGCCCTCAAAAACTTCAGGAAGATTAACATTTGAAAAGGAAATAAACTTAAAGAGTGTTTGAGGAGTAGCTGAGAAAGTTGTCCTGTCCAAACTATAAAATTTGAGTCATGCCCTATTTGGGGGAGTGCCTTTCTTGATAAGATTTTAGTGAAAGTGAACATTCCAACAGTGGTCTGTGGAAGATGATCCACTACACACGAAAAAGACCCTCGACCATCTCTTTTGTAAACCAGAAGAGAGAAGGGTGTTATTGCAGAAATGATTTTCCATTAGCTACAACGCAGATCCGTTTTGTGTTTTCATTTACAGCCAAGATTGCTCCCTAATCACATGACCACAGTTATGGTTTCTTTTAGGTTATATCCTCAGGGTACAGCCCTTGAAGTGAGTCAGCATTCTATGAACATAGACAAGGTAGGCGTATACACACGACTCCACATTTTAGTAGGGGTGTTGAGAAGCGTGTAATTTGTTAATCAGGGATGCATGTAGACAGTAGCATTACTTATCAGTTAATTGTTTAACCAACTACACTATTACATTCCTACAATTTAGTGGTCAGAGACTCACAAATCCACACTAATGGGAGAGCCCTAATACAAGAGAGAGACCTTGCATTATAGTCTGTCTAGATTAGGCAACAGGTCCTTTAAAAACAATTGAGTTTGCCAACATGATTTGAAGTGCCCTAACTCCTACAGCCTCTCTCTTACTAGGCTACAAGGTGGGTAAAGACTGCATTTTTTGGAGGGGGCTCCCCAGGAGTTGCCTGCCACCCCCGCATGTAGGACATTTAAAGGAGTTACACAGTTGAACACATTAACACCCTTAGTTTCCAGTGGGGATGTAAAAAGTCATTTTAAAACGACTCCAGTTAGGAATCCCAGCAGTTACACACCCGGGGGCTCTGCAGTATAAAACCCTTAAATATGCTTTAGAGCAGAGCCCTCAGCGAAGCCTCCCCAGGGTGTTTGGCTCCAGGCTCTGCAGCCAGGTCCCCAGCCCTGCCCCTGGGGAGCCGTAAAACCCTTAAATATGCTTTAGAGCAGAGCCCTCAGCGAAGCCTCCCCAGGGGGTTTCCTTCCAGGGTCTGCAGCCAGGTCCCCAGCCCTGCCCCTGGGGAGCCGGTGCATCACCTG